GCGACAGATTCCACTTCCCCGTCAGTCGATCGAGCTTCCGGCGATATCGAGGTGGTGCTTTGCGAATTCCGTTGTCCGCGTTGTCGGCCCGAGTCGGCCGGGATCGTTCGCCGCTACTGAAAGAGTGAGTCATTGTCGTTGTTGCAACTTTTCCTCCGCTCCCGACTCCCGACCCGACCCCCTTCGCGATTCTCGCCGTCCTTGCTCCGTCCGTCTGTCCGTCCGTCGTTCCCGAGACGTTCGAAAGTTTTGAGTCCCTACCCGGCGTGATTATCGTTTTTCCCTTCTGTGAGTCAGCAGAGTCAGACGGGGGGAGGAACGATTTTTGCGACGAATCGCGAAAAGGATGTTTCGAATGAGTTCTCGGAAGGCCTCGCGAAGAGCGTTCTCATACTAATGATCAAGATGACCTTTGAGTAGGATATTTTCGTTTGATAAATAACGAACATTCCGTTGGGTCATTCGAATTCTCTGACGGCATACGCTCCTGATATTCTCTGGCGCAGGATCGAAATATGCTGTTCATTATCCATTTCTACCAATGTAGAATTTACTTTGACCTCGGTTCAACTCACTTTTTATATTTTTCTACTTCCGAGGATTAAGAAAAGATAAAAAGTGAGCTAAACCGAGGCCAAAGTAAATTCTACATTGGGAGAAATGGACATTAGTTTGAAAGATCGAGCCTAAGCCATTCTCATTTTTACGCTTGACTAAATCCTAGAAAAAAAAATAAGATTTTGCTGCGAAATCGAGATATTTCAAGTTTCGCGACGGTATCCAACAGCGTTGAGGCCTGCTCTCCCGGCGTCGGCGACGCGAACGAACCATTCGTTCCGATTTGACGGACTCCTCGAACATCTCGGAAGCGAGACCAACGAAGATTTGCTTTGGGAATCGCGAGAATTCGGATCGATGAGAAGAACAGGAAAAAAAAAAGTTTTAGACTTCGCACGGCAACCGATAATGTTTTTTTTTCCTCGATAACATCACGACGGATAAATCTTCCGTGACTGACTCGGGCGCGGTATACAAAAGACCTCCGAAAGTTTACCGACGATGCTGATAAGGATAAAGAAAGACTCGAAAACAAGTCTTCCGATGAGGAAACTGTTTCTTATTTTTCGAACATAATGCGCTATACTGGAAATTTACGCGGTTTAGCGAAATTGCGAACGCAATTTGCGATTGTCCACGCACATATCTTGAAAATTTGAATATTTTATTTGAATACTTGGCTATATTTTAGAAACTATATTTAGTTATCCTAGGTCTTATAGAAGTTAGATTTTTTTGTTCTATATATATCGTGTGCCAGATATACGCGCAAAGTGAGAAAAAAAATGAAAGGAGCAGAAGACGTTCGTTTCCGCTGCTGGTCGCCGATAAACGAATGACGCACGTAAAGCACGCTATTGTTGCTCCGATCTCGTGCTTACGTTTCCTTTTCGGATACAGCTGCACCGTTACGAAGGTGATTCGTGCAGATTTATTCACGGGCGAGCATCCGGCTTAGGCTCCGGTGAATCGGAGCGTTAGATCGACGGCCCCGAAATGCGGCGCGCGGCGCGGCGCCGCAAAAGTCGAAACGTTGGAGAAATCGTACTCGCCTCGCCGCATGTCGAGATTCCCCGCGATCGTTTTTAAATCACCGGATACGTGATAACGGGGTAAAATGTTGATTTACTCGGTACTCGCGCGAGGCCGAGGCGAACCTCAAGGCGGACGCGCGCAGCACAGGCAGTCGGCTCCGATGAACATTGGTTCAACGATCGTTCCGCGAGCGAACCTGGGATACCTACTTGTATGTGTGTGTGTGTGCCACCTACATAATTCATATCGGTATGGAGCAGCCGAGTTTTGACGAGGAGAGGAGAGAAGAGAGGAAATAAAAAAAAAAAAAGGAAATCGCGGACGGTGTTTTGTCGAAGAATTCGTGACCGAGACGAGGAAATGGTCGTCGCGCGAATTCCTATCGGCCGGCCGAACGAGACGACCGAGATATATACGTAAGGGAATAGTCAAGTCTCTCCTTCCTTCTCCTCGCGGTCGCTCCGCGCTGTCGCGATGGATTACCGACACGCGTAATACAATATTTCCGTGTAATTCATACTCGCCGTTGGACGCGAGGAGTCCGCACGCGTCGATTCCCGGCTCCGCGAGCCTCGTAGCCGATCGTACGGGAGAAACGTTCCGTTTTCGGTGCCTCGGTTAACGTGAAACGTGTAGCGCGCATTTAAAAATTACGGACGAGCAATTTTTTTCCTCGTTGACGATTTCAATCCTCGTGGTATTTCGGAAGTTATTGTAATTCAAGCGGCGTGTATCTGACCGGCCATGCGATTCGAAAATGGCATTGGCGACGAGCCGATCGCGCACTTCCCATGTGGGCCTCGTTAGTGGGTTCGTGCGGTTGAATTATAATCGCGAGGGAAGATATTAAAGGAATCGTTTTAGAATTCACTCGACGTCGATGGACTTCCGAATCCTGTAGTATTGTCGTCGTTGTTTTACGTCGACGTACTTATATTTGGCACGGAAAATTACAGATGTGTCACACTTTTTGTTATTAATAGATTTTTCGAACGACTTGTGAAATTGACTTTAAATTGTGGAAAATTGTTACGAAGGCTATTTTTC